CCCCAGGTCGTGGGCACCCTGCAGCGCGTGAGGGTCCTCGTCAGACACCACGTGGCGGGGGTGAGCAAATGAGTTGTGCTGTGCGTGCGTGCATAGGGCAGGCGCGAAGCAAGCAAGGGGTTTTGGGTTGGCACCGCGCTCCCTCACGTGCGGCGCTTGCCGGGCGCCTTCTGCAAAGCAATGTCTGGATGGGCAGGGAAAGAGCGTCGGGGCTCAGCGGTCTTGCCGGCGGAGGGGCGGATGGTCCAGCCCCTCAGGAGTGACCCCTCATCCTCCACCCTTTGAAGGCTAGCAGCAGCCTCGACATTTCTGGGCCCCTTTGCACCTCCAACACACGCGCACACACACACACACACACACACACACACACACACACACACACACACACACACACACGCGCGCGCACGCACGCACGCACGCACGTACACACTCAGACGCAAATGCATCAGCGCCCCACAATTCTCCCCTGATCCCCCTCCTATTTGACCAAACCCTCAGCCACAACCGCGTTCCGGCTTCACACCTCAACCCCACCCAACCCCCCAAAACCACCCCCCCAAAAAAAATACAGGCCAACGAGGCGCGCACCGGCCAATTTTTGTCAGCCTGTGCTCACGGGGAGCTGATCCGCGTGAAGCTGATGCTGGGCCAGGGCTTCAGCCCGGGTGGGTCGCGAGGCTTGTCTCTACCTACCTGGTATTTGCGGCGACTGGACTCGTGGACACACGGATGGACCAGGCTTTGCTGTACGCTTGCATTTGTGTGTGTGTGTGTGTGTGTGTGTGTGTGTGTGTGTGTGTGTGTACGCATGCTATTGTGTGTGTGTGTGTGTGTGTGTGTTTGCGTTTGTGTCACGGTCCACTCGTTTGTTGTTGGTGCGATGCGGCAGTCTCAGGGGGGGGCCTCCTGGCACGCGCCACGCTGCCATGCCCCGCTGACCCAAACGGGTGCCAATAAGGGCCCAAAAGCCCGTGACGGCCCGGATGCTCGAGCTTGATCCAGCGTGTGCCCTCAGCGCTCACCCTCACCCTCCCTCTCCCACCCCCCTGAACACGATCCCCCCTCCCCACCCAGACGCGGTTGACTACGGCAACCGCACTGGACTCATGCTGGCCGCGGCAAACGGGCAAAAGGTGGGCACAGCCACAGCCACAGACACAGGCACAGCCACAGACACCAAGACCGCTGGGCTCGTGGCCATCACGTTGTGATTTGGGGTCCCACCTGCGCGTTGCCTGCCCCGCTCCAACGGAGCCCCCAACCCCCAGCCCACGACCAACCACATCCGATCTTGGGAAAGCGCGCCGGGCACGGTGGCCCCGCCGCCAGTGAGTCCCCTGCACGCGCACATGCGTGATGTCTGCCCTTCCAGCCAGCAAACGCGACCGACCATACCCACCATGAGCCCCCAACCCTCTCGCACCCCAAATAGGCTGTTGTTGATGTACTGCTAGCGGTCAATGCGCGCGCCAACCTGGCCGACCGCTCCGGCAACTCAGCTCTGCTGGAGGCCTGCCGCGCGGGACATGTGCGGGTTTTCATGGGGCTGGAGGGTGCGGGCGCGTATTTGTATTGGTGTGTGTATTTGTGTATATCCATGTGCATGTGTGTGCGTGTGTCCGTGTGTGTTTTTGTTTGGGGGCTTGTGTACATTTGTGTGTGTGTGTGAGTGTGTGTGTGTGTGTGTGTGTGCGCGTGCGCGTGCGCACATGTGCGTGCACGTGCTTGCTCTGGCAGATGGGCGCGTCTCCCCCAGCTGATCGGCCAACACGACCTCAACATCATCCGTCAACCCCCCGTATTGCCC